TTGCACACGAATAGCAATTCATTTGGGAAGATTTACATATGAAAAATCTATTTTTCTCATATTAAACAATGGTTACATTATGTTTCGTTTATTTTACCTTATCATACCAATTGACAATAGTTGACGAGAAGTTTTTAGTCTTTATATGATATAATTGTTCTAGGGCCAAGGAATCTTCAATTACAACTGAAAGAATTTCAAGAGCAGGTACATGTTCAATAATATGTTCAATAAAATAACCATGAATAACATGAATGTGTAAACGACGAAGAGTCATACAATTAGTAACAAGTTGATTGTCGATTTGATTTGAATAAATATCAGAAGATGATGATGATGAAAAACATTTATGTATTTGATAAAGAGAATTGTCTTGTGAAATATCAAGTCGAAGAGAGGTTAATTGACATTTAGATGAAAAAAGTTGACGTATGAATTCTTGATACATGACTCTCAATTTTTGAACTATGTCATTAAAAAACAAAGAACAAATCTTTAGTATTTCTTTTTCAACAACAAAATCTATCAGTTTCATCTGTTTTCAATTCTTAATTTCTAAGACTTTTTATGATAAAATGAATTGTTTGACGAAAAATTTCAATTTACCTTGATCACGTGCATTCTTGCCAGAATCATATTTATTGTAAAACATTTCAAGACTATCTTTATCAATTGTTAAGATTAATTCATCTAATTGATATTGAATAAGTAAAGATAAATTATTAATTAAGATTTCTGATAGAAAACATCGAGTTAGAATAAGTGATTTCAAATTAATAAAACGAATAAGATTTTCTTGAAAAATCCATTTAGATATAAGATCAAAAAAAACTGATTTTCTTCCATCAATATAAATTCGTTGTATAGAAATAGAAAGATTTGAATTAGAAATTATTGACAATAATATTGACTGATATTTATTTAAAGATAAATCTATTTCATTAATAATAATTCCAGTTTTATTTCTATCATAATTTATTGAAAATATTGAACAAACAAGAGAATTAAATCGTTTATTAATTGACCAAAATGATTCTATTATTTCAAACCATGTTAAATTCGATAATATATTAAGAAGAATTTCATTTGCCAAACTTTCTAATGTATTTATCATTTTATTCTAAATAAATAAAACTCTTATTAACTCATACAAAATATGTTGTTATTAATACACATATACAAATTCAACTATTCATCTGATAGTAACGTCATCACAAATTTGAGCCTTTTTATTTTCAAACAAAGCTAAACCATTCGTAGAAGAGCTAAGTTCTCTCTGCATAGGGACTATCAATTATCATTCATCTATCTTTCTTTATCGTTTGCTTTAGTTAATAATTAGTTTAGAAATTAAGTTTTTCAAAAAAAAATGAATGATCAAATCTGATCAAACTACTTTTTTATTTCAAATTCGTAGAAGAAATTAATTCCATTATTAATAATGTAAATATATCGAAAAGAAAATCTAACGAAATGAAATTCCACTTTTCTTAACAAATCAATCGAACATACAAAAATCTCCTTGGATAAAATTTTACTCTAATTTAGAGTTTTAAAACAAAACAAAAAGTTTGGTTATATATTCAATTATCGAATCTTCTTTCAATAAGTCTGTTAAAATCAGATTGTTTTCTACAAACTCAGGTGCATTATGAAAGATAAAGTTTTGGCATATTTTTCTATGAGAAAAAGTCAAATCTGACGATTTATCAAACTATTCGATTTTTTTAATTGATCTACTCAATGTATTGAATGAAAGACGAAAAATTTGCTACAATAACTAAACGACTGAATAGTAAACCTATTGTTGTTAGGAATCTGAAAAATGATATTTTTCAGATCAAGTATCAATTTAAAATTTTCTTTAGTTTCGATCTTGATTAGAGCTAATAAAATGTTCTATTTTCACACATATAAAAACGCAAAATTGATTCTTTTCTGAAATTAAACACATCCTATATATATATATATCGACTGATCCAATACTGCTTGAGGATGAAAAAAATAAATATTTGTGATATGAATAATTAAGACTTCTATTTTTAGGATTTGTTTCGGATCTTTTTTTGCAAGATTAAGTCTAAGTTTTACGAGTTTTTTTTTTTATACTTAATAAAACTTGATCACCACTAGTATGGATAAGTTTTAGTCTCGGCAGAATCGCAACCACTTTGAAGATCTCTAACTGTTGCACGCCATGTAATCAACCGCCTTTACAAATATCAAAAGTAAACAAGTGTCTTTTTTACACTGTTAGGCAACTAGAAACTTTCTCGAGTACGAGTATTGGCCCATTATTTCAGTACAAATACAAATACTATTTATTAGCGGATGAGTAGTACTAGACAGCTGCAGATCCTTCCAACCGTGATCTCACTAAGGTGTGGATCCAAAGTTTTATTTTTTCTTTTTGTCTCTGATTGAAGATCGGCTTCAGCTATAGAAATATAGCTTCTATCAAGTTTCTATCAACAGATAACTCGTACCAGATATTGTTTTACCTGTTTGAGAGTTTTTTCATAAGATAAAAAAAATAACAATATATTGATGCAATGATATAATAATCAATATTCAACACATAAGATATAGTTGTCTCTTTATAATGAACGAGGAAAAAAAAAAAACGAGTGTGTCTTTCTTTCTTTCTTTCTTTCTTTTTCTTCGAGAGTGAACAAATTTGACGAAATCAAACTCTACACGGCGAATATAATCAAATATTAGACAGACGAACACGTCTATTTTTCTCTAACAATATTTTTTTCTTTCAATTTGAGGTATACGAAAAATTGTGTTTTCTTTTTTGCGGCCGATGATCAAATCAATGAGTAGATCGACAATGAGAGTGAAAGCGAAAGTTTTGATCAAAATTGAGAATGAACCAAAGGAAATATAATGACGGATAAGATGACTATACAAAATCACTTATTAGAAAAAATGATAGGAACTGTCATCTTATTGCTTCTTGAGCAAATATAAATCAATTTAACAAGTCATAATGAGTTGTTTCAAATGAATATTATTCATAAATATAGAGGCGTTTGTTGAAAGAAATTCATATAATGGAAGCTGTACTCAATTGTTGATTATAATGATAATCGGTCTGCTTCTAATTGAATATGACGATATCATAGAATAAAAATCTCATTTAATAAAAAGATTAATTGATATTTTGAATAATGCTTCAAAATTTTATTTTATTTTAGTTTTTATCATTAATTTATCGATTTACTTTGATACTTTATCTGATGAGTAATAAATTATTTTGTGTATATGAAGCTTCAGCATATTAAATTATTTTTTTATCGAACACAAAAGTTGATTATTTAATAAATCAATTTGTGTCTTTTTTGCTAATTCATCGTTATTGAATTACGAATAACATTGTCTTGAAATTTATCTTTCAAATATTTTATGTATACTGTACAGAGGTGAGGACAGGACAGGACGATACGACCGTCCTGCTGCCCTGTCCTGTCCCTGTCGCTCACTAGGACAAGTGATAGCGGAGCAGCAGGACAAGACAGGACAGGATGAATAATTTAGTCCTGCTCTTTTTATGTCATTTTTTTTCTACAATTTTTGCATAGTACGTATCGTCATTGGTTATACTTGATGTGTACGATGAGCTTTAAATGTATTACTGGGTGTGGGTGTGGGTGTGGGTGTGGGTGGGTGTGGGTGTGGGTGTGGGTGTGGGTGGGTGTGGGTGTGTGGGTGTGGGTGGGTGTGGGAGGGTGTGGGCATGGGGTCCGATTAGGGGGGGGGCTGGGGGGTCCAGCCCCCCGCAAAAATGTAAGTTGTTTCTGGGAAATTTTTCCCTAGTCTTTTGATTAATTTCTGGTGCGCCTGGTCTAAATGCGACTACGTGAAACTAAGTATAATGTCTTTTTTGACCAGATTATATTGATTATGATATCTGCTCCGTAACAAAACAGTACTCCTATCAGAAACTTTATCGTTTCTGTTTACTATTTCTGCCAGAAACTCTCGTTTCTATTTACTATTTCTGCCAGAAACTCGATCGTTTCCACTTTTTATTTCTGCCAGAAACACTATAATTTCTATTTACTATTTCT